AGTATGGCGACGCTACAGTCCCACCTTCAGCAGAGACGACATCAACAGCCTTCGTTCCATACGCTCCTTCGACAAAGCTCTGGACGACATATCTCAGCTACAAAGGAAGTTCAAATTGAAGGCAGCATGGATAGATTGGGTAGCGCAGCAGCAAGCCACCACATCTTGGTCCCGATCGTCGAATAGGGCCCCTGACATGGCAGACGAGTTCTACATGGGTGTTTGGATCAATGGCGAATATGAGGACGACATTGACTCGTTCTTGGCGCACCATATCCCTTGCTTCATATCCCATAAGCTGAGGGGAGACGAGTTAGACCGCCTGTTCGATGCGGGGTACGGGCGGAGAGACACTACGTTCGTTCAGGGCACCCCCATCGAAAAATTGAGTCACCCCCACAATCGAGTCGAAGCATTCCTACGTAAGCAGCAGGTGATAATCACGGAATCCGACAACGATGACAATATAGCAACCGAAGAACCCTCTGACCCGCCGGAATCCCTAGCTGCTTCATTCTCGCTGATCCACAGAGAATGGTCGAGAGGGGGTCCGGCTCCTATCGCGTATATCGCAAGCCCTCCGGCAGGCCAAACTGTTCAGCCAGCCTCAACCTCGACTTCCTCCCCTTTCTCGGACCTCGACTTTTCCAACTGTGGGGCCGAACCTCTTGACATGGTGGAGATCGATCCATGTCGAGTAGCTTGGATCCGTCCCCCCCCCGTTATGCGTCCCATAGGAGGGAAATGGGCAAAGTGGGCAGAGAAAAACGTGGACGGAGAATTATTCGTGGCCAAAGTGGGAAAGTCTTATAGAGACTTTGATGGAGTATCCTATTTCGACCGCTCGTGTAACCGTGAGGTCATCTTGCTGAGCGCTGCGCAAATACTCCCCGGGGCTGTCTCAAAGCCTGAAGTCTTTGGACTCCCCTGTCCTAGATATTTGCATTTCGTCGAAACCCCCCAGAACAAAGCGCCGCGCCCCGCCAAGGCTTCCGCCTGGCTGTACCTGACCAAAGACCCGATCCCCACAGATGTAGGGCTACGAGCGGGGCACCCAGCAGCGGAAGATCTACCGCTCAAGGACGAATTCAGAGCGGGACCTTCGAATCGACCACCGTCACCGCCACCTAGTCCAGGCAATCCCCCAGGCAATCCACTCCCTCCACTGCCATTGATGACCGATCCTTTCAATTCACCAGAACCCATGGGCGTTCCTGACAGTGAGCGCCCCATCTCTCCAGTGGACTCCCTGATGGGAGCTCCACCGGAGGTGGACTGGGAACTGGATTCGGACGAACCTATGGGACCTCAGATTCCGGCTAGGTCCCTCGAGGATTTCGAGATGGAAGCTGTGGATTTGGGAGATGTTCCCTCGCCCTCTCGAAGTCCAGCATCACAGTCGCCGATTCAACCGTTCAGTGAGACGTTGGCTAGTCCGCCGCGTCCCATGGCAACCCCGATACCCCTCCGCCACCAGCCTATTATGAGTCCTCCAGCTCCCCCCTCTGCTCCTGAGCCCTCGCGTCAGAGCCCTCCTCGTCGTAGTAGTCGTAAACATGCTCGCCAGCGTTCCCCCTCCCCTCCTCCGAGACGGAGAGGCGATAGCTATCGCCCGAGACCTCCCTCATATTCGAGAGGAATCGACCGTTCCAACCCGTGGTCGACCACTGCCGCTACAAATATGTGGCCTGTCCCTAGCGATCTTCAGAACCCTTGGGCTCAAACGTCGGGAACCAATGCGTGGTCAGCTCCCAACACCTTCTCTGCAGGGCCGACTCCTCCTCCCTGGGGGGCATCTCCAGGATACATGCCCTGGGGTACCAACCCAACGACCATGGCTCCTTGGTCGGTCCACTACCCAGGGTACTATCCCTCAGAGCATGTTCATATGCCAAGCTGGCCACCTTACGGATTCCCACCAGTGCCGGCTCACAGCTGTCCTTCATGCCACAACTGCGCCTCATGCGGTCGCCCCTCTGTACAAGCTAGTGACGAGAATCTTCGCGAGCCCCCTCCTGACACGGTTGCGCCATCGTTGCTGGGTCGCTTACGTTCACCATCGGGTGGGGGTCCCTCTCAAGCCCCCTCCATCACGCCGCCGATACCATCCCTCTCTTTGGCACAACGTTTGCGGAACCCTGCCACCTTAGCCGATCGTTTACAACCGCCTACTTCATTGACTCAGCGAATACAACCGCCCTCTGATTTCGTCCAAGGGTCCTCCTCCCAACCTCTACAGAGCTCTTTACCCTTTTTACCAGCCGTGGCACCCACTGGCCGCGCACGCCGTAGTCGCAGAGCAGGCCGAGCACAAAAGGAGGAAGACGATAGGCGAGCAAAAGAAGGCAAACCACCATCAGGCAAAGGGAAACGGAGGGATCGGAGGTAAGAGAACAAGGCGTAATACGAGTCTGCGCGCAGGGGGGCATTGTGATACGGAGTTGAGGATACGCGCAGGCACATCTTACGTAATCGCGTAGTTATATCGTTCGTACATTCTTGATGACCAGTAGACATTAAACCACCATCATCTTGCTACCAAGCTCGCGTGATGAGTCTAAGGTGTCCACTGCTGGTAAGACCAAGGGTGAGCCCCCTTACAATGCTCCCTCCTCCACAGGATACGAGAGCCCTTCCTCTGGGTTAACGAGGGTCTGCCTAGGACTTCTAGGCAACCCTAGGAGACGAGCGCGACCTCAATAGTCGCGTTCTCTCCACTTACTTCTATTCATCGACACTATACTACAACATTCAACTACGGTACTACGAGACTTCACGCGCACGAAGTCCCCGCACGCACTGAGGTTTCACACTGTTCGACCCGATCCGTTTTTTGCTTTGAGACTGGGAATAGACATGCGGGTGACGAATGAAAAGTTCGTACCACCTGGATCTAAATAGTGAATGTCAACCGTTTCGTTGGGTTGGTTGTTCGCATCCACGTTTAGGAGAATGCGTGTCTCAGGGGACAGTGTGACTTGGAGAACATCAGAGCAGGTTCAACACAACTGCATGAAAATTTGCACAAACCGAGAAAGTACTTCAACCTTAGATCAAAATCTATTCTCCCTGACTCAATTAGAGGAAAATTCTTCGAGGCGTCAGCTTCAGCAGTAGAGATGTCGAAGAGCTTCCAATGATTGTCGAATCGCGCCCAAAAAGTGATTCCCAATTCATTTTCGGTGGATTTTATTACCTTCAAATCAAGATTATTATCGAGGTAACCATCAATGCTACCGTGGAAAGACCACAGAGCAGAACCAATGCGATGATCGGAGCGGATTCCGTGGATTGATAGGTGTAGATAGTAGTTGCGGATTCTGCCAGGCTGCTCTCTGCCGATGTACTTTGCAAACACTAGGATCCGATTGCCTCTGATGGGGACGAACGAAATGCTGAATGGACGCTGCGGCGGATGTTTAGGGACAATGATTCGTGGCTTGAAAGCACAGTTTTAGTTGGATACGACTTTCTCAGTGAACGACATGTGAATCAACCTCGTGTTTTCTGGCAGAGGAATGGATGTTGTGCTCAAATATCGTGCCGTTCCGGCGGTAACAAATGATTCCCTTTCGAAGAGGACAATGAAGGTCGTATATGCCAAATTCCCCGTCGGGCCTACAAAGTGGGCGATGATGTAGGTACTACATGTAGAAAAGATTCTCACAAGCTGTAGTCGACAATGACTGTCTTTCTGGGAATCCTTGACTTTAGCAATGGTGAAGGTGGTTCATCCATTGATGGCTGGTGAGAATACGGAAAGAACAATGCTCTGCCGTATAAGCGCGCGCTGGGCTGAGCGAGTTTGTCGGAGTTAGAGGACAACTTGCCAACGTTGATCACGGGGGTCCACCAGTGGCGGCATACCAAGTTGACAATTTGAAAACTCATCATGGCCTCAACTTTTAACTTTGCATCCACGTCGGCTACTCATTCATCTGGCCTCCCTCCCTTTTCCGGTTAACCTCCACGCTCAAAGGAGTACACGATCGAATCAATCATGATGCACATTCTGCATTTCTCCAGAATCCGACAACTGTTTCCCGATAATTGTCGTGTCAGCCTGAGCCCTTCCGACTCTGACCCTCCCATCGCACCCGGTCCCTTTCTATCTCATTCTGCCGTTGTCTCTCAGCCCACGTCGCCCGAGCCCGTTCAAGAGGTTTACGCCCTCCCTAATGCTCTTCCATCTCTCTGGCCTTCTTCCGCGTTTCGCCCCGACGAAAGGTCGATTTTCAGCCACCAATGAAGCTTGAACGAAGTTCTGTCCTGCCCATCAACCACCCAGTGCGTGGTTCGTATGACATTACCAGGCTCCATAAGCGGCAGTGGCTGAATACCACGCGCGCCTCGCAACTTGTCTCTGCGGATTGTCTAAGCTTGAAGAGCTCTGTGCTCCGCGCAATGCTGGGTTGTTCCATTCATACATTTTCATAGATGTCCACAGAGAAACGACGTTTGTAGGGAGGAGGGCAGGGGCAGGGAAAGATGCAGGAGGTGGAGGTTGAGAGGCCAAGTTGGGCGTACCGATGACGAAGATAAGGTTTGCAGAGCTTGAGTTGAGTTTCTTGCATTTGAAGCAGAATGTAGGGATTGCGGGGACGAATTTGGTTGTTCGTCCGTCAGTCAACAGGCTGCTGAGTTGGTACGCTATCTTTTCCCTCCAATGGCATCCGACTAACGCTTTGAGTAGGCCCAATCGCAAAGCCAGCGACAACATCTCCCGTATTGGACGCATGGCTGCGCCGTTGGAACATGGGCGTTATTATCCGTTTGAGCGGAGGAGGGTGCGATCCGCGGCAGAGTTTCTTTAAAGCACCAACGATGCGTCGGTATGATCGAGGGAGCCCTGAGGGAAATACCCGGAACATGGTGTGGTTTCGTGTGTGGATGACTGGGTACGATGGTTAGGTTGACAGTGTTGGTGGCGGATAGTTGATGAGAGTAGCCTCTACTGTTGGTAGTCAATAAATGATCTATCACACAACCGAAGTATCAGGGGAAGAAGATATCAAGGCGCATGCGCTCACTCACCTTATTTAGTGACCGTCTGTAATCATGGAATTGGCCAGAGGCAAAGAATCCTACGTACAGCCCGCCAATCCCCAACTTAATAAGCGCAATAGTGGTGGAGTTACCTTTGACACCTAACGGCCTCACTTCTTTGGCAACCAAATATCCAAAGAATACATGCAGCCCATGTTATACATTGACGAGTGGTGTCACGGTAGAAACATGATATTAAGCATACTATCACCGAAGAGTTAGGCTTAAAAATGAAATCAAAACCGAAGGGAAGACGTACTCTAGTGAAAGTGCCCATAGTCATAAAAGTCTCTTTCCTCTTCGTCCCATTCCCATACAAGCTCTTTACAGCATCACTCATCTCCGACTTACGCTTCGCCTCCTCCATCGCCAGCCCACTGACCACCGCCTTACTCGCCGCGGATATTTTGGCGCTCGGCCCCACCGCCGCCTGTTTCTTCGCTGGATGCTCTGCGTCGTCCGTGGCCGAGTCGTTCTTCCGCTTCTTTGAAGACTTCGACTTCTTCACGGGTTCCAAAAGGCGCTTATGCTCCATTGCTTCACACATGGTGTCTTCCTCGTCTTGAGAAGGGTTGAGGAGGACGACGTCCTCGGTTCGTGAGTACTTCTTCCCGCATTGAGGGCAGAGCTCAAGTTCGCCGTCCGAAGTGTCCGTTGTAGATGCTTTTGCTTTGCCTTTGTCGTTCTCCCGGTCTTTTGGAGTAGAAGAAGCGGAGACGGTCTTCAGCCCTGCTTGGGAGAAGACGCAGCCGCAGGTGGAAAGGTATACGAAGGGCTGGACGCCATTCATCTCCTTCAATGTAAGTGGGCAGACGAATTGTGGTCGTTCGGTGTCGCTTGATGATGGCTCGGACGAGTGAGGCGCAGGATTGGGGCTAAGTGTCAGGGTTTTCACGTCCTATTGCATGACTGGTTTAGCCTGCATGGCGATAAGTAGCGGCGTTCGGAGCTCACCTTCAGTGACCGGATATGACCACATATTCTCTCCCCGTCTCCATAAGCCGCTTTGTCGAGCAAGTACTCTATTATCGAGTCCTTGTTGTACAACTTGCCCAACGCACATGAGACGATGGGTTCCTGCAGTTTCCTCTGTGATTGAAGGAATATGAGTTCGTCGTCGTTAGAATAGAAATTTCCGCTCACCTTTGATAATGCACAGAAGAACCACCGTGCGCGAGTCTGGTTGGCCTTGTCAGCTTGTTCCGCCTAATGCTCTGTCAGCTCCATATCTTCAAGGCTTTTAAAGGTTTTATCTCACCTTCGGCTTGTTTCTAACGAGGTCGCGACGATCTGGGATGCTTCCACCGTCATTACCCATGATAGAGACGTGATTTGTATACGAGGTGGTGGTGGTGGTGGTGAAGAAAGTGACTACAAAGTCCGACGTGATCATCTTCACACAATCATCCCATATCGTGAGCAAGGTCCTACCAGCAGCGCAATGCTGCAGGAACTATCGCATATGGACAAGATAACTCAGCTTCAAGATGAAATACAGCAGGTATGTTTTTCTCTCAACACGAAAAGTACAAATACTGACTGAACAATGGTCGTCCTCAGCTTCTCCTGATCATGGCCAATAGCATTAGCTATCTAACGTCGCGATCTAACTTTCTTCAAGTCAGCCCGGAGATTCCTATAACTAAACAGCGTAACCCCGACAAGTATGACCCCCCAGATGTATTTGAAGGTGAGTGATCCGCCTCGTCTGCTTTTTCGCTAAACTAATGGCGCATTGTGTCGGTCAGCGAACAAGAAAGAGCTAGTAGCAGACTTGATGGTGAAAGCCAAGCAGATAGAGTATCTCATCAACTCTTTACCAGAGCCAGAACCCGAGGAAGAACAGGTGGGTTCACGTCCCAGTTTTCAATTTTCGCTGACATTCATACATCAAACAGGCAATGAGATTTCAACAATTAGAAGAGGAGATGACGCTCGCGAATGAAGATTACATGTTGGCTGTCGGTCGCGCTAGTAAGCTTCTATCTTGCTGCCTTCTTCAGACTTCAAGTTGACGCTGTCTACCAGAAAACCTTCACTCTCAGGTTGCAGAAGTCCTGCAGGCTATGCTTGTAGACAACGAGGCTAATTTACTACAAGATGGACCATCCATTCCAGAAAGCATCCCCACCACACCACCCCAAACCTGACGACGTGTATCGGTTCTCCCGTTCGTCGTTGTGTAATACCAGGGCCCGTTCCCCTCACAAACATGATATCTACCAACAAACAACACAAACCCAAGCACGATGTGTTTTCCCTCCTTCCCCACTTGCACCTTCTTCAAGTCCAAGCCTGCCTCCACCTTGAAATCGGCAACACCCGCCTCCAAACGAAAATCCCGACGGTGGGGATCCCTCTGGCGATTCGCCCGCGCTTCCTGGAATTCGTCCTAACGTCATCACGGAGATGGCTAGTTGGTGCCCAAGCAGAGTCGTCTCGCACCTTCACAGCCTAATAGGGAAGAAGAAGGGCTTCGTGTTAGCACGCCTGAAAGGAAACGACAGGCTGAGAGGGAGAAGAGAAGAGAAGAGAGAAAGACGACCAAGACGCCTGCTCGCGGCTATCGGACCAGGACGAAGCGCGTCTTCGTCATTTGCCTGTACTTTTTGGTTGACAACGATCTTGGTTGATAGGCAAGGCTTGACTCGCTTTTTTCTTCGACCAGCGGCGGGAATCTTTTTCAGAATCTGATACGGAGAATGAGTCGGAATTAACCTCTGGTCCTGGATCTTTGCCGAATAACAGACTATTGTAATATCTTTCGTAATATATCTGCCCGTCTACTGGTATTCTCATCGACATTGTGCTTGAGAGGGATGAATATCGTCTATCCGTGGGAAAGATAGGCGAAAGGCAACTCTGATCATGGCGACGAGTGTGTTCGCGCTCTTGACTCTTCCCAACACATCCAAGGGACTGACGGCATTGCAACCCACCGTGGTCAATGCGGTTAACATCGCCGGGTCCGCATCTCCCCGTCGCAAAGTTGCTCGTTTGGCCACCGACTCTGATTCCGCCTCTGCTTCCAGATCACGACCCGCAACGATCCACAAGCCAGGCGCGTCCATTAGGATACGTATTCTCGACAGCGATGGTGCGTATTGAAACTAGGATGTAGTAACTCGACTCTGACATGATTCTCAGGCACATGGGACAAAAAACCAGAGTCAACGGAACAGTTTGGTTTAGTACGACGGTGTATCAAAATCTCGTTGACACGAGCGGGCTTCGATATGCTCCCTGCGACTTACGAGCGCATATTTTCGACTTGCCGAGCGCTAGTTATTGACTACAAGCGCGGCGAAGATCTCTATGGCGCTTTGAAGCTCGAACTCGAGCAAAGTCTCACTGCCTTGGCCGGGATTATGATTGAGGAACCAAAGGAAGAGATTGATTGGCTAGCGGGTTTCGCGAAGCATTGTGAGTGGTTTGAATCGCAGATCGTGAGTTGTTTATATTTCGTACGGGAAAATACTTATGAGGGAAATGGTTTAGGCACTCATTGAATCACTTTTGACGTACCTTGACCAGGTTTATGTCGTCAACGAACATAGGGCTATCCCTATTCAGTAAGCCTAGACCGCTGCTCACAAGTCTCATTATATGTAACTCTTCATGACAGCGAACTGGCATTCAGCTTGTTCACGCAGAGAATCTTTGAGAATCCCCGAATCGCGGAGCGTCTGCGTTCAGGCATATCGAAGTGGGTCGTAGCAGAACGCAACTTAAGGTCCGCCGCCTTTTCCATGCTTTCACGCGTTCCAGCATTTGGTACTTACCTTTTGTAGAATCCCACACAGCAAGCGAAAAAATGTCGAAGAACTCATCAAGCACCTCATCACTCACAGTCAATACTCATCTTTCGAGGAATACTACATCCAGTTCACTCGGTCGTATTACCAAGCCGATTCAGCGGATTGCGCCACAGAACTCACTGGGGACCCACAAGGATTCTTCAAGCATGTCATAATGCGCATTCAGGAGGAGACGGAGCGTTCCAAAGCAATCTTGGTTGTCGGCAGTTGGGGCCTTGTGAGGGAGGCTACGGAAAAGGCTTTGTTGGACAACAGATTGAAGTGGCTTGCTTTTGAGAGTAAGTCATGTCGTTGTCCTTTGTGGATGCTTACATATCCTGCTTCATAACAGCTCTCGGCTCCTATATGACGGCTGGTGACTTCACGACACTGGCTTCCATGTACACCCTTTTCAGCAGGGTCGGCGGTATAGCCGTATTGTGCGCAGCTTTCCGACAACATATCAGGGTAGGTCTCTTCCTCATTCTTCTTCGTGCAGACTATGATGTCCGCTATCTAGACATCAGTGGAGGAGATCGTTAAGGATGTTAATAACGACGACGACATGGTTCAAAAACTCCTGGACCTCAAATCCGCAGCTGATACGACCATCACAACCGCCTTCCTCACAAACAACATGAACGATGCCGAGACTAGCGCAGGCACGAAGACGCCAGATTCTGAATTCGTCTACTCCCTCAAAGACGCTTTCGCTAGTGGCTTCAGAGCTAGGAGAAATAAGCCGGCGGAGATGATCGCAAAATTCCTTGACAAGGCAATGAGGAAAGGCCAGGGTTCTTCAACCGACGCGGAATTTCAAGCGCTTCTTGATTCTGTGCTGGCTTTGTACAGGTATACGGATGATAAGGACGTCTTTAGGACGTTTTACCATCGTTCGCTTGCCAAGAGGTTGTTGCTCGAGAAGAGCGCCTCTATTGACTTTGAGGCCTCGATGCTGAAGAAACTGAAAGAGGGTACGTGCACCACGTAAAAGCATATTTGCAATCATTGCTAACGCAGTTTTGGGGGCAGAGTACGACCCAGAGTTTGGCATGGGCGAGGATATGTTCAAGGACTTGTCTTTGTCCAAGGAAGCTATGGCGGAATACCACGCCAAGCTTCCGTCGAACAGTTTTGGCCAGCGGCTTTCGGTTATGGTTCTACAGCGCAGTGCTTGGCCGTTCACAGTGACGAAGAAAAGCGTTGATTTGCCGATAAGTGTACGTTTTCCCTTCTTTGCGTTTCTCTACTACGCAACTCAGAAAGCATACTTAGATGCAAAAGGAGCTCGTGAATTACGCGAACGACTATAAACTACGACATTCCGGACACGTTCTTTCGTGGGACCACGCGTTGGGCACTGCGACGTTGAAAGCGAGGTTTGACGCTGGGTACAAGGACCTATCTGTCAGTTTGTATCAGGCCGTTGTGTTGCTCTTGTTCAACGATGCGGTCGAGATTCCGTTTACGGATATTATGGCGCAGACGAGGATGGGTGTGTATTTTTCTTCTTCATTCGTCATCATTGTGAGAGCGGTGTTGATGGTCCGTCTGTCTAGATGATGATGAGTTGAGAAGGACGTTACAGAGCTTGGCGTGTGGGAAGAAAAAGGTCCTGTTGAAGATCCCTCCTGGGAAGGACGTGAATGATGGAGATGTGTTCAAGTTTAATGCTGATTTCAAGGATGAACGTTTGAGGGTGCATATTAACTCTATTCAAGCGAAGGTTACTGTACGTGTCATTTCGCCCTTTCCTATCCTTGCTTTGTTTCTACCTCCCTTCTGACCCTTCCCTCCCCTTGTTTCTCCAGCCGGAAGAATCAAAACGAACCAACGAAACCATAGAAGGGGACAGGAAACACTACATCGACGCAGCCATCGTGCGGATCATGAAAGCCAAGAAGGAGATGATGCACGAGCAGCTCATGATTGCTACCATTGACGCGGTGAAGAGCCACTTTGTGCCTATTGTCGATACGATCAAGAAACGCGTGGAGTCGTTGGTGGAGTCGGAGTATTTGAGGAGGAGTGAGAAGGATAAGGAGAAGTTTTTTTATGTTGCATGATCCTTGCTGAGTTTTTTTGGTGTATTTTCGTTGATCTTTGAAACTAAACGAGATGTTCGTTCGAGACTTAGGACACTTTTGGTTTGAGTGAAAGCAACTCGATTCGCATTTGAGCCATAGCTTGTCTCCCAGCGCTAATCTGCCCGGAAGTAAAATGTGCCTTGCGGCCTCGTGTCCTTTATATTTAGCACCACCCCCTTGTTTGCATCAATCCGACGCTACAATGATCTCTCCCCCGCCCATCATTCTCAATGGAAAACAATCACTCGAGTTCACGAAAGTTCATCGATTTGATTTTCAAAGCCTCGTCCAAATGGGCGAATTGGAATCCACCGCACGAGATCAAGGTTCACGATGATATATATACATCTGTTCTGCCATGTTCACCAACCTCTCATCTTACTCTTCTAGGTGGGAGACTACGGCAAACTCGACTCCAAGACGGGCGAGTTTAACAGGCAAGGGAATATCTATGACGATACGACTATTTACAACGACGAACATCTCGCCAAGCTTGTGAAAGACCATCCTCCCAAGGCAGCTGCCCGTGAGGACGTCTACATCGCTGCGTCTTCCAAGGTGAAACGTGGTGATCTCAAGTCGAGCGCTGAAGGGTGAGAAGTTTCCTTCTTCCCCAAGGTCCAGCTGAGCTTACTGTGAACTCAGTGAAGTTGCTGGCCTAGCCGAAGCGTCGATTAAAGGCCAGTGGGCCTTTGGCTCCAAACGTGGAGCATTGTTGATCATGGCAAATCCGCGTAGTTCCCATATCCCTCAAGGCACGCTTCTTGAGCATTTGGCGAAGCTTCCGATCATGAAAAACATGGTCCTCATCACGGAAGTGTTTTCTTGTCCAGCGTATAGCTTGTACTTGTCAAGTGGAAGTGAGTTCCCCCTTGTATCCGCCGTTCACCCTTGGTCGATTGTGTGACGGGTTGACTAGATAGTGAAGTCCTGGACCTTGCACTGGTTGGTTCGTTTCCTCTACCTCATACTCCCGGAGTGACGGGGGGAGGTGGAATTGAAGGGAAGTGGTGGGTACAGAATACGACAGGGCTATTTCGAAGCGCCCGTGAACCTAATGGAAGAGATGATTACACGCCGTTGTACATGCTCAAAGAGATTCGGAAGAAAAAGGGTCTCTTCAGCGGCAGACGCGGAGAAATTGGGCCTAAGCCTGAGGGTGACGATCTGTGAGCGTTTCGGATCTTTTGTCTCATGCATGTGGCTGATACTTTTGCAAGTTGGGTTGACGTCCAGGTACCATGGGACCCGCTCAACGAGGACGGGGACGAGGAACCCTTTGAGGATACGGTGAGTCTGGAGCATTTCCTACAACACCTCTCCTCAACGCACGAAAAACAGATTTTCGACTGAACAACGTGTGGTTGAACAACACTGGTCTCGCATGCTATTTGGTTCACATCGTTACTTTCACTGTCCAGCTTACTCCTTCAATAAATTCCACATAACGTCCCCCACCTTCCCCTGCGATCCTTGAGAGCCTTCCCAGCCTTCACGAGCAGCCAGCGACCTCGACCTCTCACGATGTACGTGAGGGGGAATGCGAAGTAGTCGCTGGGTAAGGTATGGATTCTGTAGAGAATGAATCAGCAAAATTTTCGCAACTGAAGCTAGGAGATACTTACCCAATTGCTGGACAGCCATTAAGCACCAATATGGACGAACATGATCCAACGTTCCAAAGGTACACCTCGTTTCCTCATTGCTTTGACAGCCAGGTTAAGAGCTTCTGCGGAATCCCTGAAGTCTACCTTCCTTCCTTGATGGCGGAAGATATGATTGTAGAATTCCTTTGAAATCGTTGGTCCGTCTTCGTCGCCCATTGCCCACAAAGTTCCTATCACGCTTCTGAACCCACAAAACTGCAAAGCCGCCGCTAGATGGATAGCCTCGTCTGGTGTGTCGAGATCTTCTCCTGTCGCACTATGACACGCGGATAGAAATGCAAATTCGGCATTTGGGAGCCTGGCCTGGATCAAGTCGAGCAAAGTGAGACGACTACCACCATGAAGTTCAAACGAAGCATGGAATGGTTGGTCATTAGGTCCCAAATGGCCATGACAGGCGAAATGAACCCAAGAATGTTGCTTGAGACCATCAAGAACTGTGTCACGATCCGCATGCTCACCCATTCGGACGGTCACGAAGTCGCCAAGTTGTTGTATACCATCGATTTCCTCCTGAACACTGGGCAGTGATTCGCCAGGTTGACCAATGACGAGTAACTTAGGGACAAGTTCAGCAGAACTGCCAATCGCATTGGATCTCGCCCTAATCAATGCAGATATAGTTGGTATATATGACGACGTGTAGATGTCTGGGAGGTTTCTTTGGTTCCGTCGATATGGACCTGATGCATGAAGGGGTAGACCGCACAGCACGGAGGTTGGACACCACCAGAGTCGACTCTTCTCTGGGACCCCCAACTTAGCTAGCCGGTCAACCACAGGCGAAACAACATTGTTCCATAGATCGCGCAAGATTGGAGCAATACGTTTTGAGGGGTCAGCGATAGCACTAAATCTTGCGGAGGTAAGTTGATCAACTAGAGAAGCGATGTCCTCAAGCTGTACGTCAGGAAGGGGAACGAGAATGGGGGGATGGCTGATGTGAAGGATGATGGCGTCAGAACGAAACCGGCTGACATTTACTATAATGACCGGTCCCTCCGCTGCAGCTGCTTGAAGAGTGGTGAATGGAACACTTTGTAGAAAGTCGCCGAAACCCTCAACTTCTCGAATTCTTTTGATGACCTCCTCCCATTCTTCCGATAGGATGCGAATTCTCTGCAATTTGAATTCCGAGGAAGTCAAGGGTCCGTTGGGCGCCTCAAACTCGGAGGGTAACACAAGACGCTCAAGCTGGGTGTTTAACGCTAGAAGGCGGTCCGCTAGATCCACGTCGACCAGTCGAAGTGCATCAAGGGGACGTCTATATCCATTCATCTTAGACCACAGTAGGGCCCTGCCCCGCTCAAGAAACTCAACTGCTGTCTCGACCTGTTGCGCCTCAATCGCGGCCGAGGCAGCGTCAAAGGCAAGTGTCTTGGACAAGTGGGTGGTGGCAAGGAACTTTTGCTGTGATTCAATATCAGGGTGTGAAATCAAACAACGATCAAGAAGATGGAATGTCGTTGAATAGGCGTGTATTGCAGAGCTATGGTGATAGAATCGGGCCTTATAGGCCCACTTTATGGCGATGGCAAGACGATCCTTTGAACTTGCAGTTGGATGGTTGGCTGCCTGATCGTGAAGCACGAAGGCTTCTTCCAAATCCTCCAGGTTGCCTGAGTGCTCAAACCGAGTAAAAATAGCGTCACCAAGGTTGCCGAGGAAACCGCAATATCGTGGGTGATCGCGAGGGCAGGAAGCGAGTGCTTCTCGAAATCCGTCAATCCCCTTTTCTACACTCTCTGTATCACCCAGCACGTGGAAGAAAATGCAAGCAATCCTAGCAATGTTGCCGAAGAAATCGGAAACATCTGGGTGGTCATGAGGAAGGAGGGCGACAGCTTCTTCATACAAGGCGATCGCCTCTTTCATATCCTCCACACCGCCTGATAGGTTAAAACGTGCCAGAAGTGCGTTTCCGAGAGTTCCAAGGGAGTTGGCACGAATTGGATGGTCCAAAGGGAAGAGAGCGAGTGCTTCACGGTGGAGTGTGATTTCTTCCTCTAAATCCTCCACCCTGCCCAATTGACAAAAGCGAGCATGAAGAGCATTACCAAGGTTGTTCAGTGCACCGGAATGATCTAAAAACCCAACAGGACCGAGACGGAGCACTTCGCGGTAGTAGGTTATTCCGCTTTCAAGGTCCTCTATGTTGCCTAACTGTTGGAAACGAGTGGACAGAACATTACCAAGGCTGGTGAGGGACTTGGAGTAATCCGGGTGACCAAGAGGACGGAGGGCGAGTGCTTCACGGTTGTAAGTGATCGCTTCTTCCAGATCCTCCATTTTGCCCAGTTGATGAAAGCGCGTGTAAACAGTGTTAGCAACATTGTGGACGGAGTTGGCGTAGTCTGGGTGGCCATGAGGACGGAGAGCGAGTGCTTCGCGATGGAGTGTCAGTGCCTCTTCCAGATCCTCCATCCTGCCCTGTTGCCTAAAGCGATTCCAGATAGCCGTAGCAAGGCCGTCAAGAGAATGAGATCGATGTGGGCTTAGCGTGAGCGCCTCGCGGAAGAGTGAGATCGCCCGTTCGAGATCCTCCATCCTTCCCAACTGCAGGAATCGAGTATGGACAGCACTGGCAAGGTTGTATAGATAAACAGGCCGTTCTGGGTGGCCAAGAGGGTGGAGACTGAGTGCTTCCTTATTAAGTGCAATCACCTTTTCCAAATCCTCCACCATTTCAAACTGCGTGAAGCGAGCATGAACGGCAGCGGCGAAACTGCTTAGGAGACTTGGGCGTTGTGGGTGGTCGACCGGGACGAGGGTGAGTGCTTCCCTGTAGTATATGATCACCTCCTCCGCATCTTCGTTGTTTCCAAGCCGGCTGAAGCGAAGCCAAACAGCAGCAGCGATGTTCACGAGGGAGTTTAAACGAGCAGGGTGTCCGGGAGGGCGCAGAGCCAGTGCTTCCTTGTGGTATATGATTCCCTGTTCCAGGTCCTCTGCTTTTCCCAGCTGGTTGAAACGGACGATAATGCCCATGGCGAGGTTATTGAGTGAACTAGGGCGAATTGGGTGGCCAGGCGGGGATTGATCAAGTGCCTCACGAAAGTATCTGATTGACTCTTCCAAATCCCCCAATCTGCCCAACAGCTTGGAGCGAGCGTCTATAGCGCTGGCAAGATCGCTCAGAGAACTTGGACGTCGTGGGTGGTCAAGAGGAAGGAGAGAAAGTGCTTCGAGCTGATGTGTGACCACTCCATCCACATCTTCAATCTTTCCAAGCCGGTTGAAGCGAATCCAAAGCGCAGCGGCAAGGTTGAGAATGGTGTTGAAACGGTCTGGGTGTCCAAGAGGCCGGAGAAGGAGTGCTTCCCGGTGGAATGTGATACCCTCCTCCAAATCCTCCAGCCTACACAGTTTGTTGAAGCGAGCGACCATGGCGGTGGCAAAGTTATTGAGGGAACTAGGGCGACTTGGGTGATCAGGAGGGCAGAGAGTGAGTGCCTCGCGAAAGTATGAGATTGACTCTTCTAGATCCTCCAATCTATTCAACAGCTTGAAGCGAGTGTGGATAGTATTGGAGACGTCGCTCAGGGAACTAGGACGTGCCGGGTGGTCAACGGGGATGAGAGTGAGCGCTTCCCGCTGATATAGAACAACCTCATCCAAATCCTCGATCTTTCCCAGCTGGCTGAAGCGAATCCAAAGCGCAGCAGCAAGATTCACAAGGGAGTTCAAACGAGCTGGGTGGCCAGTAGGGCGGAGAAGGAGTGCTTCCCGGTGGTGTGTGATACCCTCTTCCAAATCCTCCGGCCTACCCAGTTTGTTAAAGCGAATGACAATGGCAGTGGCAAGGTTATTGAGGGAACTAGGGCGAATTGGGTGACCAGGAGGGCAGAGAGTAAGTGCTTCGCGAAAGTATGAGATTGACTCTTCCAAGTCGTCTACTCCATGCGACAGTATAAAGCGAGCGTTGATAGCGCTGGCGAGATTGTTCAGAGAATTATACCGTTGTGGATGGTCGTGATCAAGAGGAATGAGAGCAAGTGCTTCCCGATGGTGCAAGATCGCCTCTTCCAGGTCCTCCATCCTTCCCAACTTGTTGAAACGTTCCAAAATAACAATGGCAAGGTTGCTGAGGGTCCCAAAATAAAGTGGGTGACCAGGAGGGAGGAGTGCGAGTGCTTCCCGGTGCTGCGCGATTGCACCTTCCAGGTCTTCTATCATACCCAAGCGATTGAAGCGAACATAACTCGCAGAGGCAAGGGTGTTGTGAGTGCTCCAACGAGATGGGTTACCAATGGGAAGCAGTGAGAGTGTCTCTCTGGAATATGTGATCACCTCATCTAAATCCTCTACCTTGCCAAGCTGGCGGAAGCGTGTCATAATTGCAGTGGTGAGCTTGCCGAAGGAATCAGGACGAGCTGGGTGACCAGGAGGGCGGAGAGCGAGTGCCTCACGAAAGTACGTGATTGCTTCTTCCAGATCCTCCACTCTTCCGAATCGCTCGAAGCGAGTGTAGATAGCAACGGCGAGGTTGTTTAAGGACATGGAACGATCGGGGTGGGGAAGAGGACGAAGAGTGAGGGCTTCCTGATAGTGCGTAATCGCTTCTTCCATATCCTCCACCCTCCCCAACTGCTTGAAGCGAACAAGAAGAGCATTGGCGAGTTTATTGAGGTAATTCGAACGTTGTGGGTGATCAAGGGAAAGGGGGGTGAGTCCCTCGCGGTAGCATGCAATTGCTTCCTCCAAATCTTCAACCATTCTAAACTGATTGAAGCGAGTGTAGATCGCATCAGCAAGCTTGTTGATATGCACGGCACGACGTGGGTCGCTAGGATTGAGCGAGCCGGCATTGTGGCATTGTGCGATCGCGTCGTCCAACTTCATTTCGCCCAACTTGAACCTTCAATGTCAAATAGAAAGAACTAAATGATGATGTGTATTATAAACATCAAGAAGGCGACATACCTCGCAAGTCGAGTTCTTGAGAAGGGTCAGCAGGGTATTGGCGCTCATTGAGCAAGTTAGATTCCCACAACATCTTCCCTCTAATGCTCTCAACAGCTGCGAGGCTAGAAGCTATTATCATTCCTTGATGCTTCTAACAAAATTGAAAGACCCACCTACGGATCTATCAGAAATGCTAGTTCCCTTCTCTGGCAAGTCGAAAAGAATCTTCATCCACTGCTTGTCCACGGCAAATCCACGTCAGGTCCGAATGGTCGTAAACATGTTGTAGAACGCGTCAGGTAGCAGGAGCACAGCAGGAGCACGAGCGCGGATGATGATCGATGAATCGAAACGTGTGGACGCCAACAACTCTGATTGTCCAGCGTGATGTGAAGAAGGCCACAACCCGAATGAACATCTCGCTCGTTCACCATCAAGAAGAAGACCACAAGCAGGGGAGCTGATGCTCTCGGGCCCGTTTCGAGGCAGCAATCAAACGGTGCATTTCTAACCTTCAATATTCAATCATGACGCCCTTTTCAATTCACAACTACAGGTATAGAGCCTGCAAAAACGGCGCAACAGCATGGACACCAGTCCAAAACTAGATGTTATCCTCGCCAGAAAACAGGTTGTGATCGACTCGCAGGGTGACCAGGAATCAGCTCCTGAAAAACCGCCTCTCGATCCCTCTGACTGGCATCCAACGTTTACAGAGGGGTGTGAACGCGTCAAAAATAAACTGCGTGTTGTTCGTGTGATTCATCACAAAGAACTGAGCCCTTTGCGTATTGGAGAACACCTTCTACGCAGCTGGAGAGGCTGTTTTGAATGTACGTGTTTCGTTTTCTCGGCTATCTGCATACTGACATATGTCAGCTCAGATCACTATGCGCTCTGGAAGGGAGGAATTGAACACGGTGATATTAGTCCTCGCTTCCTCAAGGTCGGCGTTCTGAACGACTTCGATCTCACCAATATTCCTGGCGAGGATTCTAGAGGCGGGAGACGGACTGGGACCATTGCTTTCATGGCCCTTCAGCTAATCGACCGCTTTAGGGAGAACCCTAGACGATTCTACCGTCATGATGTTGAGTCATTGATTTGGGTTCTTATTTGGATCTGTCTAGATTACAGGGAACACGGTGATGCACCTCAGGGCATGAAGGAGGAGGATGTGCAGAAGACTATCTCGTTCCTTCAATCCTGGAAGACGGGAGACACCGAACAAGCATTTCACGTCCGAACGGCATTCTTTCTTCGCCTCAAAACGGTTGTGCCTCGCAATGCTTCCAAAGAACTGTGGAACTTGGCAAACAAACTGGGTACATGGGTAAAGCGAATGAACGATCACGAAACAGTTGAAGGCCTTGATTGCACTGAGGAGGTGGAGGTCATTCATAAGCAGATAGTCATAATCATCAAGGAGTACGAAAGTAGCGATTGAAGAATGTTGTTTTGATTGAGTATGCACACCAATCCGCTACTTTTCTCTCATCTCCAAAACGGTCATCACGCAAGCTATTCACTGTGGGTCATCAGCAGTCGTCGCAGTTAATGTCGAGTTATTGGGCAATGCATGAAGTACTTGGTCCTGGTAGGGGGACGCCTCGCAGATTGGAGGCGAAGATCGGTACTGGTGAGGTTCGCCAATTCTTGAGCGAGAAACGGCCGACGAACGGCGAATTGGACCATCTACTTCAGCACAAACAGCACAGTGGACGGACTTTTTTGTCGCGATACGGTTACTCAGGCTGTAGGCCGTAACAAGAGGCCCGTTGAAGTCCCCTTCCCCCCATTTCCGCATGCGCCAATAGGATCAGTATCCCCATCTATAATTCACAACGTCTCTTCTTCAGTTCTCTCTCTCTCACTTCCCTTTTTCTCCCCTCTGCTCTCTATTTCTTCGACATCTACCCCCTTCACAACACGCTTTTCCCTTGCGCCGAACACTTCGTTGGATGATAGATGGATGTCCTAGACAACCACAGGCGGCAAGTCGATTTTCTGGATTTTTTCGAGGAGGTTTTGAGGGAGGCTTGCACTAGCGCACCAAAAGACGTGGACTTAGTGGATCGATGCCTTGCGGCTGTCCTGCCAATTTGCAACGCAGCCGACATGGAGAAATTGTTGAACAAATAGTAAGTGGGCCAATACCGTAAAGAGCTCCCTGATTCTGAAGTTACCCAGCTTCACCCCGGCTTCAAACGAGTTGACCGATACACGCCCAAGATCGATGCATTCAACCAGATCTTGAGTGTACTTGACAACCTCGACGCTCAGTCAAACGGTTGCCGCTTTCAAAAACCCACTGAAGTCACTCAGATCTTCCACCACAACGACCCCAAAGCCATGAAAGCTCAGCGCAATTGCATGGACACCCGTCGAAAACCAGATCACTTGGATATCCCAATGCTTACGGAGTCCAAACGCGCCAAAAGTACACTACGTGTTGTTCGTGCGATTCATCACAAAGAACTGAGCTCTTTGCGTAATGGAAACCACCTTCTAAGCGGTTGGAGAGATTGTTTTGAATGTAATTGCTTCGTTTCCACGACTATTTCAACAGACTCACATATGTCACCTTAGGCCACTATGCACTTTGGAAGGAAGGGATTCAACACGGTGACATCAGCCTTTGCAACTTGTTGTGGGACCCCTCCCTCAAGGTCGGCGTTCTGAACGACTTCGATCTCACCAGTATTTCTGGCGAAGACTCTTACGGCGGGAGACGGACTAGGACCATTACTTCCATCGCCCTTCAGCTGATCAAACCCCTTCAAATTGTGAAGAGCCCTAGACGGTTATACCGTCATGATCTTGAGTCATTGATTTGGATTCTAATTTGGATCTGCCTATATTTCAATGGACCTGATGGCATACATCAAGGCATGGAAAAGGACGATGTGAGGGAGCATATCTCGCTCCTTCAGGAATGGAAGACGGGAGACGCCCGTCGAGCATTTCAAGTCCGATGGGCGTTCCTAACACTTCTCCATAGCCGTGTGCCTTGCAAGGCTTACAAAGAGTTGTGGCAGCTGGCAGAAAAACTGGGTATATGGGTATCAAAGCGAGCACTGAACAAAACAGTCCAAGGCCACGATTGCACGGAGGAGGTGGATGTTGTCCGTAAGCAGATAGTTGAATATCATTGAAGAGTACGAAAGTAGAGATTGAATATTTATTGACAGGAATATTGAAGAACGATGCTTTATTTTGGCTTTATTCCGACTCGGAGTCTGCATGTAAATACACAACATTTCTGTCATGTTCATCACGCATGCATCTTATCTACTGCGGGTTTGCCTCAGTCGAAACCGTTAATGGGCAACACATGAACCACTTCATCGTGCAAGGCGGAAACCTGGCAGATGGCAGGAGAGATCGGTACCGGTGAGGTTCACCAATCATTGCCAAGTGAGAAACTGCTGACGAACGACAAACTTGCACCATCTGCTTCATGCATTCATGGCCTAGACCTGCTCAAACACAATGCAAAATGAGAAAGCGTCTCACGATCCCTTTGACTGGCATATCCCAAATCCAATGCTTACAGAGTCCAAACGCTGATATGCCTGCAACGCAGTAGATGTGTATGGAAAATCCAAAACACACCAAATACAAAACCTTCGGAAATGGTTAGCGTTGCTTCGAGTGGCTCTGAAAGACACAAGACGGAGTTCTCTGGGCTTCTCAAAACAGGAAAGGTGATGTAGACACAACTCCTAATGTGTGGGAGTGCGTCCGAAGGTGTGTGGGGAGTATGAGGATGTTAGGGACAATGTGAGTGGAGGGAATAATCGGAAAACGAATAATGCGAAGGTTGACAAGTGCACACAGTGTGCAGGACGATGGCAACTAGTATAACGAAGTGCTGAAACGATTATCAGCTGGAACGAGATGCGAATCGAGGGGTGAAGTACAACTTGTTATTTCGAAGTACTATGATACTACAAATACATGAATGTACAAATATTCGAAAATATTCAAAAAAAGGAAATGTGAAAGATAGAAACAAAGATAAGAAGTTCCGAAACATGAAACATGAAGATAGTAAGAGCAAAATCAGAGAAATGCGAAAGAAGTAAAAAAATGAATATAAAATAAAAGAAGAATAAGTAAGGGGTGGAAAGGCACCAATATATTCGGAAAATGGAAGCAAAGACTGGCTGTGCATGGCGATTGATCCTAGGTTAAAGCTAAACTCCAAATGTGCAAACAATAAGACCGGATTGATGGGAATGGATGAATGCTGGAGTATGTGCCTGTGTGCATTCTTTCGCAATACAACTATTCGGGCATGTGTGAAGATACATCTGAAGTGGCGAGAAAGCGAAAGGGTAATTGTTGATGAGTCTGCGAATGTCTTGTGAACATGTGTGTGGAGATGTTGTCGAAATCCTCGCAAAGCTGTTGAATATTCGGAAGTTCGGATTTAAAGCGTGTACACATGATAGAATATTCGGGGTGTGTGTGGAAACACGCGAATGGAACATCCTAAAGTTGGTGAAGACGTCTGAACATGTTGTTGAATCGAATATAGGCAGGAGGGGACGCGTGTGGAGTAAGATTCGCAAAGTTGGTACACTGCAAACATATCAAAATACCAAGATGAAAATATTTTAAGAGTATTTTGATGGTACATAAATTTTTTCCAAAATACTGTCCGCCAGGTATGTGGTTGGTATGAAAAAAAATATTTTATTACTGTTGCTAAAGTACCTGATTAGTATCTTGATTATATTCAAGGATTTTTTCTCAGTACTGGCCCATGTACTGTAAGAATACTTCCATCACAGTATCTTAACTTTTGAACAAAATATCTTTAATATACTGACATGTCAATATTGGAAGAGTATGATGCTGCAAAAGAAAGATACTTTTAAATTATTATATATAATACTTGAAAGATACTTCTTCCATACTGGAGAGTAAATATAAAGAAAGTATTTTAAAAGTATGAAAATATATTGCATTTTTATGTTACATATCAACACAATATTAGCCAGATCATCATTGAAGATAGATAGCATACTTCAATGCCAGTATTGTGGTGGTATCAAGAATAGACAAACAATACTGACCGACAAGTATGTTGTTAGTATGGAAAAGGTATGAGAGTGAAATATTTTCATAGTGTTTCAATATTGCAGACAGAGTATCTAATTAGTATATTGTTAGTATGAAGGAAATATCAAAGTGAGATATTTATATAGTGTTTCAATATTACAGACAGAGTATCTAATCAGTATGTTGTTAGTATGGAAAGAATATGAGAGTAAAATATTAATATAGTGTTTCAATATTGCAGGCAGAGTATTCAATTAGTATATTGCAACATTATACCATACTTTTTGAGGACTATATTTCATACTTTCATAATAGAAGCATGGTATGGACTGACAGAAATTTAGAAAGTATCTGAATGGTATGATTTCTTAGAAATACATAATTTCAAAGTGAGCACTCAATACCAAAGAGAGAGTATTGAAATCATATTATAGTATTAAATAGTATATTAAATAGATACTAGAGAAAGAGTACTGAAAGTATATTAAAACTAAACAGAATCAGCATACCAACCTGATACCAGTCCCTCAATAATATTGATGGTATCCAAAATGATTACTATGAAGGTACAGTGCAATAATAATAAGAGTAACCAAAAAGTATTAGAGTGATAACATAATGTAGCATGTTTCAAGTATGGTAATAATGATGTGAATAAACTAGTATCATTCAAGTATGGTAATATTAATCTACTTGAATGATGCAGTTATGCTATCCAGTATTTTGAATAATTTTAAAAAGCTCAATACAGGAAGAATAGCAAAAAAGATATTATAATGGAACCCTTGGAGTACTGTGGAAGAGATGATGATGGTACATTCATAAAAACACAGAGCTGTGGATCCCCAGATTTTCATATCTACAGATCTATGGATCCTCTGGAGGTCGCTGTGGCACAAAGGAAGGGCGAAGTATCATATACCCAGAGAATTAGAGTGTGGATGCAAAGCAGATCCATGAGAATGATGCTTTGTTTTTTTTTTTTCATCCTTGGTTTTTGGATCTATGGCTCTTCATATCTCTACATCCTTGAATACTTGGATCTTCATATCACTATATTCATGCATATCCTTGTATCTCTATATCCATGGATACGGGTCTTGAATTGTAATATGTGTCTCTACATAGTTTTGGATGTTATTGTCAATTTTTATAATGTATCTTTCTTAGGATGTTCTCAAATACTAGTCTGTTCCCAGGATATTTGAGACACAGAGCTGTGGATCCCCAGATTTTCATATCTACAGATCTGTGGATCCTCAGATCTTCATATTCAAATCTATGTATCCCTGCATCCTCAGATCCCAGTATCTCTACATCCATGGGTCCACAGATTCCTGGATTTTTGGATCTCTAGACCTGTGGATCTTCATATCTCTACATCCTTGGATGCCTGGATCTTCATATCACTATATTTATGCATTGACAGATCCTTGTATCTCTACATCCATGGATCCTTGGATACTTGAATTTTCATATGTCTACATTCCTAGACACCTTGACCAATATGTCACGAAACTGTTAAGCAACACAAATTCTACAAGTGAGATTAGTTTTGGATGTTATTGTTAATTTTTTTTTGATGACTTAGCACACTTGTCAATTTGCACCTCACAAGTGGCAGGCCACTGCAAGCCCACAACATTGGGCAATCTCAATCGCCTTAGCCAGCAACAGATCCTCAGATTGTTGCTTTACATTCATGGATCCACAGAGCTGTGGATACTCATATGTTAATATCTCTACCTCTACAGATCAAGGGATCCTCTCAGATCTTCATGATCAAATCTATGTATCCTCTAATCTTTATACTTGTGCATCTATGGATCTACAAATCTCCAATACTCAGATCCCAGTGTCTCTATATCCACCGATCCATGCATCCTCTATTTCTGAGATGTCTAACATCCACAGATCCTCAGATCCCAGTTCATGTGTCCACAGATCCCTGGATTTTTGGATCTCTAGATCTATTGATCTTCATATCTCTACATCCTTGGATGCTTGGATCTTCATATCTCTATATTCATGTATTGACAGATCCTTGTATCCCTACATCTAATATTTTCTAAATTCACAGATTTTTGACATGTATGCATTGTCACGGGTTTGGTGACCCACATGGGTAAGGCTAAGGGTGTCATTTGGTACAGGTACAGGTTGGATTTGACAGGTATGGTGCAGGTTGGTATACCTATAGTAAGGGTTAGTGGGTTACCCATGGTTCTCCATGCTCAAATCAAGCATTGGCATTTGCATTTGCCGGTGCTTCTGGTCATCCTCATTCTCCACCCTGATGGATCGTTGGGTCAGAAGATATGAGGATCCATGGATCAGTGGAGCTGTGGATTTAGAGATACAAGAATCTGTGCATCTGCAGATGTAGAGATATGAGTCTATGGGTCCCTGGATCCATTGATGTAGAGATACTAGAATCCATGGATCCATGGACCTCAGATCTGCAGATTCTTAGATTTTCATATCTGTACATCTATGGATCTACAGATCACCAGACTCTGGTATCACCATATACAAGCCACAGATCCATTGATATAGAGATATCAAAATCCATGGATCCATGGAGCTGCAGATTTTTAGACTTTCTACATCCATAGATTGGCAGATCCTCAGACCCTGGTATCTCTACATTCAACTAGAAATCTTATGAAACTTCAATTTAACATTCAAAAATTAAAGATCTTTATATTTCTATCTCCACAGATCTATGGATCCTCAGATCTTCATATCCAAATCTATGTATCTTCTGATTTTTATACTTGTGCATCCATAGATCTACAGATCTCTAATATCTGCAGATCCTCAGATACCAGTATCTCTACATCCATGGATCCATGGATCCTCTGTTCTTCAGATGTCTACGACAGATCCTCAGATCCTATATCTCTACATCAATGGGTCCACAGATCCAAATCTCTATATTCATGCATTGACAGGTTCTCGAGATCTATAGATCCATGGGTACTTATATCCACAGATTCCCAGATCCTGCAGATCTGCAGATCAACAGATATTCCAGCTGTTTTCATAATGATAGGCCTTTGAAGGCCTATCCAGCTATCATATCTCATCTTCAGATCCTAGTACCCCTATATAATACTTTCCATATTTTTAGTGCCAGAAAGTGAAAGAGAGTTTGATGTATTCTTGAAAGTTCGCATCTAAGTTTTGTGTCATCATTTTTCAATGCAACATCAATGATTTCTGGTGTATGGAGATGATATCTTTCTACATCCATGGGTCCACATAGGCATTGTCATGGGTAAGGGTAAGGGTACCATTTGGTTTGGCCTATCATTATTAAAACAGCTGTCATATCTCATCTTCAGATCCTAGTACCCCTATATAATACTTTTCTGATATTATTTTAGTACCATCATCATCTCATTTCATACTTTTTTAGTACTCCAAGTTTTCTATTATTAATATTACCATACTTGAATGATACTTGTTTATTAACCACTCTATCACTTTTTGATTACTCTTATTGTTATTGCACTGTACTTACATAGCAATCATCTTAGATACCATCAATATTATTGAGGGACTGGTATCAAGTTGGTATGCTGGTTCTGTTTAATTTTAAAATATGCTTTCAGTACTCTTTCTTTAGTATTTATTTAATATACTATTCAGTATTATAATATGATTTTAATATTCTCTCTTCAGTATTTATTTAATATACTGTTTAGTATTATAATATGATTTCAATACTCTCTCTTCAGTATTGAGTCCTCACTTTAAAATTATGTATTTCTAAGAAATCATACCCTTCAGATACTTTCTAAATTTCTTTCAACCCATACCATGCTTCTATTATGAAAGTATGTAATATAGCCCTCAAAAAGTATGGTATAATGTTGCAATATACTAATTGAATACTCTGCCTTACAATATTGAAACACTATATAAATATTTTACTCTCATATTCTTTCCTTACTAACAACATACTGATTAGATACTCTGTCTGTAATATTGAAACACTATATAAATATCTCACTTTGATATTTCCTTCATACTAACAATATACTAATTAGATACTCTGTCTGCAATATTGAAACACTATGAAAATATTTCACTCTCATACTTTTTCCATACTAACAACATACTTGTCAGTCAGTATTGTTTGTCTATTCTTGATACCACTACAATACTGGCATTGAAGTATGTTACCTATCTTCAATGAGGATCTGACTAATATTGTGTTGATATGTAACATAAAAATGCAATATATTTTCATACTTTTAAAATACTTTCTTTATATTTACTCTCCAGTATGGGAGAAGTATCTTTCAAGTATTATATATAATAATTTGAAAGTATCTTTCTTTTGCAGCATCATACTCTTCCAATATTGACATGTCAGTATATTAAAGATATTTTGTTCAAAAGTTAAGATACTGTGATGGAAGTATTCTTACAGTACATGGGCCAGTACTGAGAAAAAATCCTTGAATATAATCAAGATACTAATCAGGTACTTTAGCAACAGTAAATTTTTTTTTTTTTCATACCAACCACATACCTGGTGGACAGTATTTTGGAAAAAATTTATGTACCATCAAAATACTCTTAAAATATTTTCATCTTGGTATTTTGATATGTTCGCAGTGGTAGAATATTCGGAAATTCGTTCGGAAATTCGGGTTCACGTGCCTAGGATAAGCGCGCGCTCATCAACGCGTCAAAATTAACCTACGTCTTGTTCGTGTGGTTTATCACGAAGAACTGAGCTCTTTGCGTAATGGCGAAAACCTTCTAAGCGGCTGGAGAGATTGTTTTGAATGTAAGTGCCATTTGGTTTCATCAACTTGAGTCTGCATATTCACACTGAGCTCAGGCCACCATGCGTTCTGGAAGGGAGGAATCGAGCATGGGGATATTAGCCTTCGGAACCTGATGTGGGACCCCTTCCTCAAGGTCGGCATTCTGAATGACTTCGATCTCATCAGTATTTCTGGCGTAGACTCTAAAGGCGGGAGACGGACTGGGACCATTGCGTTCATGGCCATTCAGCTTATCATACCCGATGGGAAGGACCCTATTGGACGGTTATACCGCCACGATGTTGAGTCATTGATTTGGGTTTTGATTTTGATTTGTCTATATTACAGTGAACCCGATGATGCACCTGAAGGCATGGAGAAAAAGGCACTGGAGAAACACATGTTGCGCCTTCAAGAATGGAAGACAGGAGACGCCTCTCGAGCATTTCAAGTCCGATCATGTGCGTTCCTAGCAATTCTCGATAGCCGTGTGCCTTGCAAGGCTTACAAAGAGCTGTGGAACCTGACGGAAAAACTGGGTATATGGGTACTAAAGCGAGCACTGAACAAAACAGCCGAAGGCCGCGATTGCATCGGGGAGGCAGTGGAGGTTCATAAGCAGATAGTTCATATCATCAAGGAGTACGAAAGTATTTCTCTCACCTCCAAAAAACAAGCTACTATTCATTGTCGGGTTGTTCTAGGTCATCGCCGTTGCATAAATTGGGCGGTGCGTGAAGCACTCCGTCGTGCAAGATTGAAGGACGTCGCCCACTGGACTTTAGTCCAAGTTCATAATTGAATGTTGTATACTCGAAGACTGTCAAGGCCTGAGATGGAACGGGTTTGGTTCAGCTGGAACGGATTTTGCGTAAAATGATAAATAATGAAAGTCGGTAATTTATGTACGTCAAAGTCGGAAATGAATATTTGTGAATGATGTAGAGAGCCCATGACGCTTGCGAGACGCAACCAATGTTGTGCTGGCTGCGTATGTTTTGATCTGGACACCTCAGGCCACTCAAAAAGACTCAGAAAATACGTCTCGAACGCTGTCGCTCGCGGCGTAGCCAGACAAGAGATGGAAGACAAGGCACAAGTGAAGTGAAGAATGCGCGTACCCCTATACCTGGAAAAACACGAGGCCGACCAAAAGAGTTTCAATCCCTCTCAACATCCGTCTCTCATCGGCGAAACGACATCGCACAAGCGCCTTTGGAACTGAAGAAACTCCCTCGAGGGGCAGCCATCATGGCGTTCTGTCAATGGCGCAGAAGGCCATGTTGGAACAGGAGAGTTTGATTCACGATATAGGGGGCTTGAGGCTAGTCGCAGGCAAGCTGCGGAAGGAGGGGATGAGGGAGCACGAAGCGCAGATGATGACGACGAATAGTTCAATGATGATTACCTCTGGGGAACGTTGTGCGTAGGACCATGGTTGAGTGTTCGTTTTCGTATACCCTGGAATTTACCTTGACTCAGTCATAGGCACCCTTTTCTGCCGTACCCTCACTTTGGACTATTTCTCGACTTAATCGGTGTCTTAAGTTTTCTGATGCTTGTCCGCACCGCTGTTATGCGCCGACTGCGTTGTGGGTTCTTCCAATTCAGCCCATTCCAGTGAAACGAGGCCGGTAATAGGTCAGGAAAGCTCCTCCTAACTAAGACACTCTGTTGCTCATGCTTGACAAGCGCCCCCGAGCCGACTCACATTCAGACGATATTGACTTGGTTTTTGAAAGGATCTTCGCCGTCATCGATGCTTCCAAAACCTGCATACTCCGTTACTAGGAACACTCTTAAAACGTCAGCTGCTTTCCGCACTGGCAGAGGCTGAAAATAAGGAGGCCACACGCCAAGCCGCAGAGGAGTTCACACTCGAAGAAGCAGTTATGAACTTCAGACTGACATACGCCCCCACACTGTGGGATACCGCAAAGCACCTGTGGGACATTGAGGCATTGCCTGACTTCAAGACCTTTCAGCCTTCGGCATGCCTTGGTAAACTTACTCCCTGATCTTATTGAACCGTGCAATGACAAGGGACCTGAACAGAGTCGGTTTTGGAAAGTTATCTTGGAATATTATATATATGATCGATCTTGTAAGGCGGGGTGTAAAGTTCCTCTGGACTTCATAATGTGCGAATGTATAGCAATGGTGAGTTGGTTAGACTTCTGTTGCCAATCTTACTTGAATAAGCACCAAAAACTTCAGCGAAGAAAAACTCGGTCAGCTGAGGACAGCCAACGCACAGCAACAACTTGGGGTACCATCAAAGTGCACTGCGAAGTTTCCTTCACTCACGCAATCAATCCTTTGCCAATGGTTCCCAAGACCATCGTTTGTGGTCGTGTTGATCATGGTGTCGGAATTGTCATCCGTTCTTGGAGAGTTCCTTATCGGTCCTTTCACTCGGTCCTGCTGTGAGGCCGAATTCCATGGCGGCGTTACTGACGCTTTACCACAACTCGTCGTGTATCTTGCATCACTACGTCAATCCCGCCTCAACAAAGGACGAAGCAACACCTCTGTCTATGGCGTTGTGACAGATGGTTTCGCTTTCGTCTTCGTAATTATTACACATGAAGGCATCCTCAAAGAAAGCCGTCTGTTCGATCTCACGCACGGATACTTGTCGATTGTGTTAGGGTGCTTTCATATACATCTTGGAGACTGCAATGTCTATGTCTCCAAGTTTGACGCCAGAAAGGTATGCGTTGCATGAGTTGGAGGACGATGGTGATGACCCAATTTGTCTTGATGACTCTCCCCATCTGCATTCCGACGACGAATTCGAACAATGAGGTCCGCTATCACTTACCGATGAATATCCTTTGTATTGTAATTTCATTCACTCATGATCATCCAATACAACCCCAATGCAGTCTCGCTCCAATCGCTTGCTCAAGCTTGATTCATTGGGTTGAAGATTTGAAGTAAGGTGAATTTATGGCATGAAGTCGGGAAATGAATATTTGAGAATAGCTCATGACGCTTGTAAGTTGTGAGACGCAACCAAGTTCTCACTGACAACATACCCGTCGCTATCGTTGGCCACGTCGTTGAATTCTACAGACACATCTCTATCTTCTGAACGACATCAACGACGTTTACGAAACCATATAAATGTCGCCACTTTCTTCAGCAGAGTCGTCAAGCATCGAGGATTTACGTACCCCAGGGTCTCGTTTTCGCGAAAGGAACCAGCCAAGCTTAGCAGGCGAACGAAGACCTTCATGGACGCCCTCCATATTGGCAGACGACGAGAACTCGCCTATCACAATCCCACCACGGTCGCGAGCGCGCCATGTTTCTCAGCAACGGGCTGCGCGTATTGATGTTGAGAACCTCCCTATTTCCCTTGCGGAACACAGCTTGAGTGCGAGGCGGCCATCGTTTGCACCTCAATTGCCACCCGATGGACTGGATTTCGACCGTTTTCGCCAGGAATACGTTCGGGCGGCCAACTCGGGTAGTTCTGAGCGTTGGAGGGCGAGCGAGATACCTGCAGTGGTTCCTCCGGACTCGCCTGAAGACGGGAATTTTCGACGTAGCTTGGAGATTAACATGAAGGGCTTGGTGGGGGATGCCGTTGGTAATGTGAGTCTGCTGTTGTCCATGCTGCCTATCACTGACATTGCTCAGATGAGTATAAGTCCCGCTTCGAGGGATGTTGTGCTGGCTGCGTGTGTTTTATCTATCTTGCGCTCAGCTTGTCTGGTCTAACATAATGCAGGCGTCGAGGTCTATTCATCATCGACCTCGAAGCTCCTTTCGAAGTACCCCGCTTCCTACCCCAAGGCGGGACATGGGATGTGGCCGACGTACAGTGGAATCCGCACCCGTCTCGAGCAGAGTACATCGTTTCAACTTCGAGCGAGAAGCTGTCAGTTGTCTAGCCTTTCCTTATGTGGATTCTAACTCCTCACAGTTTAATATGGAATCTTATGCTTGTAGGGAAGACATCCATTCAACATATCCTCAAATCTCACTATCGCGCTATCACGGATATCAACTGGCACACCACTGAGTGTGATACGGTGGTTAGCACTGGGATTGACTCATGGTTGTGGGCTTGGGATCTGAGAGAGCCTAGGAAACCGATTTTTGGTTAGTGTTTCTCGATATTGCAAATTCTCGCTCTAACGAAGTGATAATTCCAGGTTTATCTGCATTCAAAGGTCAACTACTATTTGTCCAGAGGTGTGTCATGCTCAAGTCTCTTCAGCTTCCGGCACCCAGGTGAAGTGGAACCGGCAGGATGGCAACATCCTCGCATCGTCACACTCGAATGAGGTCTTAATCTGGGATCGTCGGGTCAGTTTTGTTAATAACCCTCCTCAGACATCTATCTCATGACTCTGAACAGAAAGGTTCTCTGCCCATCACCCAAATCCAGGCCCATACCTCCAAAATCTACGGCATCGATTGGTCGCACCATTCTTCTACTGAAATCGTGACCTGCTCCCTCGACAAGACTATCAAAACTTGGAATACTAATGATGTAACAGAACCAACGTCGTGCATCCGAACCACATACCCCGTCTGGCGTGCAAGGACACTTCCGTTTGGTGAAGGGGTGTTGAGCTTGCCTCAACGGAGTGAAACAACATTGGAAATGTATGCTACGGCGGAGACGCAAATTCCCGTAGAGACATTTGAGGGACATACAGATGTTGTGAAGGAGTTTGTGTGGAGAAAGGGTGGCAGAGGTTGGTTTATCATTGTATTCTCAATTTCCTGCGACTACTGATAGGTTTTCCATCTTCAGACGAGTTCCAATTGATAACTTGGTCCAAAGATCGTACATTGAGGTTCTGGCCCATTGGAGCAGATGTCATGCAGCGTGTTGGACATACCCTTGCCCTCAATAGGGGTCGCTCCCGATCTCGTGCCCGTTCCCGTCATAGTGGTAATGCAGAGGACAGGGATTTCACCACCACCTCCTTCCGCAATCTACCGCCAGCAGGTTTTACAGATCCCCATGCGAAGGCAGTCACCGCGCCCATTGGGTACCGTGCGATTCTCGCTGAAGTTCGGGCACCATTACCACCCACACATCAGGTGAACTCAGCCGTACAGCCGCACTTTGACTCGCGTGCTTCGTTCTACGATAGTAATGAGCCGCAGGAATCAACCCCGACGATGAGTAAGCCTATTGTCATGCTGGGGCAGAGTACCATGAGTCGGGGTGCGATTGGGGGTAAGAGCCTTGTGCGAGGAGTGGACTCATTTTCTTGGCTGGCCAGTGTGAAAGTGGGCAGCAAGCGGGGGAGCAGTTCAGGGGCGGGAAGTGGTGGGGATAGTACTGGTGCTTCGAGGGTAGGATCGATGTCAAGAACGCCGTCAGGGATAGAAATACGCGATCCGGAAGGTTCTGGAAAAGGGAGGAGTGGTAGCCGGGGTAGAGGAGGGGAGGATGGTAGGAGGGACGGGGAGGGCAGTCAGTCTTCCACTTTGCAGGATGAGTGAGCTGGTTTGCTTTCTTTGGTATTTTGATATTGATTCAAGTTTTAGGATCACGACGGTATTGACTAAGCTTGCTGCGTCCAAGATTACGCTTGAAAAGGTAGATACCTTCTACGTGATCGTGCTTCGCCTTGCTAATGTAACATTACAATAGCACGACCTGACTAAAAAGCGAAGGTGTACCTTGGGCTTCCATGGTCCCTGGGGAGAGACCTCGTCTGTGTTCATGCGGATAACATTCACTTTTCCTAGGGACTATCCACAAGCGACACATCCTGGGGGAACCCCTGGTGTTGACCTAGAGAGGAACCCACTGATTTCCGTCGGGGATCGGGAGTTCATATTGAAGCGCCTGCGTGCCATCCGAGAGCGGAAAAGGCCCTGTCTCGAAGCGTGCCTTAGGTTTTTACTCTATGCTGAAGAGGGTCATATCGGTGATGACCCTGGGTCTTCTTCTGAGGATGAAGAGCATTCGTCGACTAAGAAGCCCAAAGATTTCACATTATCTTTGATGCGGAATATCAAGAACTTGGGTGAACCGCGGACATCACAGGGAACGTTCGGTCCCAACGGTGTGTTCTTTGCTGATATATGGAAAATGTATTGATCAGGAATTTCGATAACACAGGCGAACTCATCACGTTCTTTCGAGCGCCCCCTCGAGTGGTACGCAACGTATTCAGGGGACTTGGTGAAACTTCTTCTCCACCAGCGGAAGATCAACAGCAACAAGCTGAATCGCAGCAGCAACCACCCCGGCTACTTCAATCACCTGCTTTGGTCTCAGATGCTGTTCGTCGGTTGGGGTTGTCTGCTAAGGATCGAGAGGTAAAGCCACTTGATCCACTGCGGCCTGAGAACAGCGCCAACATTCTCCGAGCCATGACGAATCTTTTGACTGGGTCGGGGCATAAGGTGCGGAGAGATTCCGATTCGAGACCGCGCGGGGAAATGTCGAAGAACTATCCAAGGTTCCCTGCAAGACGCAGTGTTGTATTCATGAATGGTACGACCAGTATTGCTGGCGGGGATAGGAAGGTCGCCCTGGATTATGAGTTTCAGGGGGACAGTTTGAGTGCTGTTTGCGACAGAAATGCAATTGTTGCACGGGAGCATCGGAGATATGACCACGAGCGCATTTTCAGGACCTTGAAGACGCTCTTCCGTACGCCTGATGATGATGGAGATGAAGACCATAGTAGTACGGAGGATCTGAACTCTTTCGCTTCGGAGACCCTCGCCCGCGGAGTCATCACTCGAATGTGAGGTTCTCTTCTCATGTGGCGTCCTCGTACTCACTTTGCGTGATTGACTCGTCAGATACTCGGACCTTAGCAAAGGAAAAGATGTCCAAATGCTCGCAATGCTATCGATGCTTATTTTGCAAACCTCACACGGAACTACCCCTCATGTAAGCATGAGGAGAAGGAAGTCGGAGGCTCTAGGCGTTTACCTTCCACCACTCAAGATTGGGGGAGTAGACTACTTCAGCATAACAAAGTCGATTAAATCCAACCCCCTTTCACCGCTGTGGCCATCTCCAATCGCACCTACCTTGGCCCCTTCTTTGTCCTCCTCCAACTCATCTCGAGGCTCCTGGTCAAGCCTATTCAACGCCGCTGGCGGCATGCGTCAATTTATGAATGGTTCATTGAAAGAGGTCACTACCCCCACGGAGGTGCCATTATCTACCTCGGATCCACAGCTCTCTCCTATTCCGTCAGCGAATAGAGCAACGCCCGAGTCCCCTGGGCCGAAGCGGAAACGGACGAGAAAGGACTCAGTGATTCATTCCCCCAGCCCTGCTGTATCGAAGTCATGGAATGATTCAGCGTCTTTACATCCGCCCAGACCTTTTGCGGTTTCTTTTTCGTCGGCAGGGCATAGGCGACTGGCATTGTCGCGTCTCGCGGATTCAAATCTATACTTGCAGGAAAAGGAAGCTGTTGTATTTGAACCGCCTATCCCAGATCAGGAGAGGTATGCTGACTGGTTTTACAAGCTTATTGACTAACTCAAATTGTCGTGCAGTCCAGACTCATTGTTCAGTCCAGAGCTCGTCAAACAGTTTACGCTCCACGTATCCTTTTACGCCGAGATGCTGTTCAGGTGGAAATTGTTCAATAAACGACTAGAGCTGTTGAAGGCCGTGAATCGTCGGAATCCACATCACGATAAGAGCGAGCCGCATAAAATAGGTACCATCTGAGCCTTTCGTTTCTCTACAGACTTATAACAGGTGACTTCTACAGGTCTTGTTCGTGTGTGCTCACGAGTGGGTTGTGAAGTGCTTCTTCCCGATAAAGCGACCGTGTGTCAATACTGTGGCACGCCATGTCTTATGGCATGTTGTACAATTTGCAGGCTCCCAGTGAAAGGTATGTTTTTGGTACCGTATGGTCTTCGTGGCTGTTGACCCATTCATTCACCTGCAAGGTCTCTCACGCAGCTGCGTCCGCTGTTACCACGTCACCCACATCTCGTGTTGGAATTCATTGGACGTGCCAATATGTCCTTCGGGGTGTGGATGTTTCTGTTCTGGTTACGATGGCCCCCAGACACGGCCCTCTACTCGACTTGGAATGACTCCTCCCCTAACGTCGTTGGCGCTATCTTGATATGGCACGGGATAGGCAGTGCTTGATGATGCGTTCCCAATGATGCGTGTCCGACGTTGACAAAGTCAAAATTTTCTTGGACACTGGACGGACTGCGGTCCCCCACACACTCGCGCACTGCTGCGGATAATTGTCGTTGTAGCACAAGCTAGCACAAGGTGTTGAAATCATGTTCTGTAGCTTTCTATTGGAGCCATATGGTTAGATGTATGTCCGTAATCTTCATTGATCATGTCACGATCATGACCCATAAGTCGGTGAGAAAGTGGACTCTATCCACCTCCCTCTTCCACCACTACCACCATGTTGGTCAGGACTCTGCTTGCGTACGCGCTGGCCACCATTTTTGGGCTTGTTAGAGCAAGACATCAAGAGTATTTGGGAATCCCTTTGGGCAGTACTGGTGCGTAATGCGTTGCATGAACTGGGTATAGTAGGTTGAAATTGATGGATTCCAGCGTCGCAAGCCTACGATTACGGCTTGTTTAGACCACTCGAGGACCTCTCTGTCCTCTCTGAAACAGAATTCACGCGACTCGCACACCCAGCGTTTCCTCGACACAGTGTACGGATCAAGAAATCGTCGTTTTGCGATGAGACCGTCAAGTGAATTTTCAACTACACCCATCGTGACTATGCTGCTGCTGACTATACTACATGTAGAGCATATACTGGGTACATTGATATCGAAGCCCGACACCTCTTTTTCTACTTTTTCGAAAGCAGGAGCGATCCAGACAAGGATGACGTGATTTTTTGGACGAACGGAGGTCCGGGCTGTTCGTCTTCGCTGGGGTTGTTCATGGAGTTGGGTGAGTACCCTCAAGGGCCCGGGATGCTTTCTTCCTTACCAGAACATGGATCTTATTGATGGAACTTCCCGAGTCCTGCACCAGCTGTCGCACTCACAGTTTAACTGTTCTTGCAGGACCTTGCAGGGTTGCCAATGCCGTCAATGGGACAACCTTCCATCCTGAATCATGGAACTCTAATGCCAATGTCTTTTTCGTGGACCAGCCTATAGGAGTTGGATTTTCATATGCAGATTACGGGGAACATGTTGTACGCACTGCCATCGCGCTTTTCTTGCTTTGGTTTATCTATCCCTCCAGTCAACAACGGAGGAGGCTGCCAAGGATATTGCCGCATTTGTCTCTATATTCTTCGAAAACTTCAGCAAGTTCAAGGGCAGGCCTTTCCATATGGCAGGAGAGTCCTACGGCGTGGGTGGCGTTAGTCGGCTGAAAACGTACAGACCTAACTTTGGCAAAACAGGGCCGATACATCCCTGTTTTCGCAGCAGAGGTTTATGACCAGAACACGAAACTCGTCGAAGCCGGAATGACGCCCATCAACCTAGCCTCCATTATGATTGGTATGGGCGTTCCATAGCTCGTTTTACGTTTCTTTCAATGAAAATCGTTTAGGAAACGGCCTCACGGACTTCTATTCCATGACAGAGTCATATTTTGACTTGGTTTGTTCGCCTGCGTCAGTGCACCCAATTCTCGACATTGCGTACGTAAAGTATCTATTGCCCATGGCTGTGATTGAGTTCCTCTTATCTCAGTTCCTGTGTGCGAATGAAACAAGCGGTAATTATTCTTGATCAGCGACTTGGGCATTGCTCATGTGGACATAGCTTCCCAGGTGCATGAAAATGCTAAAGGAATCATGTGTGGATCTCTTCGACAGTATGAGCTGCAATGCTGGTGTGGCGTTCTGTGAGGCGGAAATAATATTGCCATTTTATCGCACAAGTCAGTTCTCCTCAGCAATTGCTGGTAATTTCAAAACTGACGTCGTACAGAGAAGAACCCCTACGATATCAGCCGGGACTGTGAAGGAGAATTGAGCGATACTCTGTGTTACCCCCTGACCAAGTGTGTTCCCTCGCTTCTTTTTGGTCTATGAAACTCATTTTCGGCGCACAGACAAATTTCAACGTACCTTGACTTCCCGAAGGTACGCTCCTTGCTAGGAGTGGACCGATCTCTCGCCCATACCAACTTCTCTTCCTGCTCCTCTTCTGTCGGTTCCGCCTTCGGGCTTGCTATGGACGAGTTTCGGCCAACATACCACTACGTCAGCGCACTCCTCGAACGCGGAGTCAAGGCCTTGATCTACGTAGGAGTGAACGACTGGATCTGCAATCACGTAGGAAATGAACGTTGGACGCTGGCGTTGGAGTGGAGTGGGAAAGAGGCTTTTGGGGTGGCGGAGAAGAGGGAGTGGGTCGTTCATGGAAAGAGGGCGGGGATGACGAGGAGTGCAAAGGGGCTGACATTCGCCACCATCGATGGCGCAGGACATATGGTCTGTTTTTCTTGACGCAGACATTTCGATCTTGATTCAGATTGCTTGCAGGTTCCTTACGATAAACCAAAAGAATCATTGGAAATGGTCAATCGTTGGTTAAGTGGAAAGGATCTCTGAACACCTATTGGAATAAATGATATCTGGAAATTATTTCTCAAATGCTAATGTCACTCCTGGATTTTTGACTTCGAGCCTACTAAGAAAAGTTGCACTAGGGAATCTCAAAAATGTCCCACACGACAACTGAGAATGAACGGAAATCAAATCAAATAGATTGAGCGTACAGTCGTGGACAAGCAAAGCCCACTAAAAAAATGGCTGACATAGCACTTCCTTTTTGAGTATCTGAAATGATGCATATTAGTTAGCTGAAGTTCCCAGTCAAATTTCAAAGAGATTTATCGAGCAGTTCTTGAGAAAATGTCTATTTAAGGAAATGGTCCCTGAAATTTTGGCAAAAACCCTTAAAAGGAAATGGAAAAATCCGAAAAAATGCGCAATCGCTTCCTTTCAATAGACGGAGTGTGTCCACCGCGTTTCAAAGGGTTTCATCAAGTGGTTGGCCCACAATAAAATCTTGAATTTGACTAATGCTGCCTAAGAAGAAAGTCAATGCCACCTCAGAAGCACTAAATGCTTGTCCTGCTGAGGTGATCTGGCAGTTTATCAACTGATCATGGCAGTGGATGTCAGCTTATCACATCAGATTGACTGGGGAGCCTGCCCAGTGGGCTGTGCAAAAGCAAAAAGGGCACTGAAGTGTTTCTAGGACTGCAACGATGGATTTAGATACAGCTCTCAACTGGATTTTGTACATTACATTTGCGATTCTTGACCCCAAAAATTTGGCAATTACTAACTACTCGTGGGAAAAACTTTGGAGGGGGTGTTTTCGACGTCTTTTGAAAAACTGAGCAAGATTCTGAAAGAATCTCGCAATTTCATCGAGTTTTCGGTGAGAAAAGCGATTGGTGGGCTTTGCTTGTCCATGACTGTAAGTAATCCTCTTACGTTGAGTTTCTTTCCATCTGTCAATTCTAATCTCGGCTCCAGATGTGTAGAGAGGTCCGGTCCGGCGGTCCGCGGAGTTTAAAGTCGGAGGCAAAAAAAGCGAACAAAACACGAACACAGGACCTCTCTAGTACAGTTGCGGACAGCCAAAGTCAACCAATTTGATATCTCGGGAAGGACTAAATATTTTGACATTCTGACTTCAGATTCGAACTCAGGATGTGAAAATACGTCCAAAAACACCTCTTTGAAGTTTTTCCCACGAGAAATTGGGTTGGCCAAAATTTTGGACTATTTTTGTCGTTCAGTAGGGCTCTTCAGCGGCTCTTAAGACCCCCTTGGCAGGCTCCCAGTGCCAGAGGTGACCGAAAAATTTAGTGGCTCTTGCCAAACATTATAATTCTGATTGGAAATCAATGATATACAATTTGCTAAAGGTGGGGAGAGGAGGGGGGTCAAAGAGACAGGGTTTATTGAGGGTCCAAAGGGGTGGGAAGACCCTGAATTGCCATTTTCGGTAGTTTAAAATCATTTTTTTCTACAAAAACGGCTCATCAGAATTTCCCCAAAGTCCAGGATCAGATGCAGCTTTAAAAAAGAAGTTGATTGCACCATTTTTCATGATTTTAGGGGTCCATTTAAGGGTCGGCCAATATTTTTGGGGTAAAATTTCTCATTTCATTGATTTTGAAAAATCGGCTCGTGGAAATCAAAGCATTGAGTCCTAATCTTCACGTTTCTGCAATAAAAAGTACTATTGAAGGTTGTGCAGGGTCCTCGTATCACCATCATAAAATTAGTTGACTTTGGCTGTCCACGACTGTACATCTGGTGCAATTTGATCAGTAGGGGTAGGCTCGTGTGACAACGTCACGGTGGTCACTTTTGTTCACACCATTCCTCCTCCTACTCAGGCAACGAAATAATACCACCAACTTCAATCTTCTTTCTGAAAATGACTTTATTACACTACCTTGATTAGTTGTCTATTTTTTTTCTCTTGAAGAGGCATGCTACTTGGTCAAAATCAAATGCTGATCACACAACCACATATTTTACTAATAAATTTCTGAGACTGGTGTGGACCTGCCTAATGGTTGGAAACCATGTAGACTATATGTTTTGGCCTTATGGAACTGAGGATGTGCAAGTTTCCTGCTTTGGACTGTAGGGATGTTGCACAAGCAGATGACATCTTTTGCCTTATCCAATGCACAAAACTGGGTACTGTGAAGTGCAAAATGCTGTCCCTTGTCATTGATTTGTACATAGGATTGAAGAGAATATTAGCTTTTATTTTTGCCAGCTACTTTTGAAAGACTGAGTTTGTTTCCTGCACCACTGACCTTTCAGAAGGCTTGTACTCTCCTTCAACTATGATTATTTGCTCACAATGAAGCTAAGGTGTAGAGCTCAGTTATTTTATACTTTATTGGTGATAAAGCATGCTATAAATCTCAGAAATAATTTTGGAGCAGACATGAAAGTTGTAGAGATGATTTGGGATGCAGGACTTCTTGAGGATGAGGTGTGTTACAAGCCTGTCACACGAGCCTACCCCTTCCCACCAGACATTATAGGGCAGGATCTTGTGTGTGAATTTTCTCATTTTTTTGCCTCCGACTTTAAAGTCTGCTGATGGGATCTTATCTCCCTCCTGGATAGCGCTTGATCCTGCCCTATAACGTCGGGAACGAGACTATGTCAATTCAACAAAAAGCACAAGGGCAAGGTAAATTTGAACAAACCTAGTATTTAATTTGCCTTGCTGACCTCCCTTGACCAGACATTAACACCTTTGTTTCCTTTTTCCATGACCCCTGCTCTAGTAGTTACTGAATCAATGTCATGATCCAGAGGCAACTCCAAGAGGTAAACATTTGGTTCATCCCAACCCTCAGGAAGAACCCAATTGTGTTCCTCCTGACCAGTGGGATGGACAAGGACATAGTTTATCTCAACTAGCAACGGCTCCTCTGCCTTCCCCTTCCCCTTTAAGTCTGGCTTCTTTGCTGGTGGAGGTTGAACAAGTTCACCTTGCTGACTGATTTGATCAATGATTTCTTGTACCATGACATAGCCCGTTTGTGAACCTTTATGTGATTTGGATGTTGTCATCTGTAGTAGCCAGAGACATTGAGGCTGGGGGAGGGGAGGGAAAGTGACAACAAACAAATCAAACAGGGGGTGGTCAACCATCGTTGGAATGTAATACACATTCTCATAGAGGTGTGGTAAATTTTTGGAGTGGAAGGAAACCACATGTTGCTTGATTTTTGAAAAACTGGGAACAGTTTCAGGGGAGTCCGGGTTGTAGTGGACAAAGTGATTGGAGTGATTGTGACTGCCCATCAATCTGAGAGCCCATGTCCCATCAGTCTTGTCTGGGTTGGCAATGAAATGATGAGCAAAAGGCACAAAAAGTGAGTCTGCAAGGCCTCTTGTATGAGGCATGGATAGAAAATGTTTGATTGTTGAGCCTGCTTTAGCCTGTGACTCATACAACAATCGGCACTTGAAGAACTTCTCAATAGTGCTTGGAAGTCCAGTCCCAAGACTGCAAAAGACCAGACCTGCAGTCTTGGTCTTTCAGATTTGAGATCACAAGACTGCAAAAAGACCAGTTAACATGGACTGGTCTTGTTGGTTAAGACCGGTCTTTTGTACCTACATAATAACCCTTCAAAACGCACCTAAGATCGTATTTTTAGGCCAAAAACTGACAAAGATACATACAAAACTGTAAAATATTTTGTGAAAAAAGCAGATGTACCTTAGTATTTTTGTATATACAGTTGAGTGCAAAAAGAATGAAGGTTGGTTCATTTTTCTGGTTCTTTCTAAGAATCTATTGTACCTCAAATGTATTTGTGTATTACTTTACATTATGTAGTTGTGTCACACTTCCCTTGGTATGGACTAATTTCAGTGAAAGCTGGAGCCTTGAGAAGGTTTTTATTCTGGAGGCCATTTTTGGCATCTGAAAAAAAAAAAAGTGCTAACTGGGGAGGTAGCCAGAACATACCTCTGGTCAACCTGAATGAGCCTATCAAAGAATCAGTCAAACATACTGAGTGGTTAGGTCTGTAGAGGCTTTGGAAAATGGCTTGTTTTGTCTAAAACAGGCCAAAAATGACCGTTCTTGGTCTTTTTGTTTTGGGCCAAAAAACCAGACTGGACCAGACTTTCAAGCACTACTTCTCAACAATGGCTGGAGACAAGAAGTCAATTTCCAACTTCTCTGATATGAGAGTGCTGACATTGTTGAGGGAGATGAGACAGTCCCAGGCATCTCTTGCACCTGTGGATGGTTGAGGACAACCTAAGCCATCTGCAGCCTTCTTCAGTTGCTTGAAGGATGTAACAAGTGCACCATCATAATCATCCACTACTTCCTTGAAGCTGATAAACATTGCATGGAAAACCTGTTGGGGGATGACTCCAAAGCATGAAACAAGACCATCCAACAGGATACCAAAACCTCTTCAAATGATTTGGGAAGCGCCTCCAGGCAAATTTCCTTGAGAAATTCAACAAGACTAGGGTTGCCAACTGTCAATAAGAGATTTGGATTTTTCCAGTTCTTCATCTGTATCGCATTGTGTAAGTTTGTTTTGAATGCATTAAATTTGGGAGAATGCTGTGTGCTGCATAGAAAACACTTGAGAAATGAGAAATCTTGGTATCAAAAGTGACATCTTACATCAATTCAAGCTCCTCAAGAGTCCATAGTGGGAACACAGTGTAAAGGGGATGTCACTGCTTCTGCCACTGAAAAAGGTCTGGATTGGGTGATGGACATTGCAGGGGGAAACATTGGGGGTGAACTGCAAATGCTGGGACCCTCTCCCAGGATCTAAGGTCAAGTAGAGTCCAAATAAACAGATCAGGGCCAGGGGAGGGAAGATCATAGGTTCTTGCATCTCATGAGGCACCATAAACACCATCATTGTGGAAAAGCACATCTTGATCAGCTGCATGAAGCAGGACAACTTGTTTCATGCATAGGAGACAGATTAGTAGGTACCATGTGAAAAGAGTTTTCCCTACAAATGTCTCAGCAAGACATACAAAAATCTGTGAAATAATCATACCAATGCCAGGTTGACCTGTGATTATCACTCCTGTTTGAGGGAAGCTCAGGGCCCACTTCCAAACCAACTTCTCAGCCTCCACATAACATTTGCAAACCATGAGACTACTGTCTTGGGATATTGGCAGAGCAAGATCATCAAGAAACGACCCAGAGAGGTCCTCCAGATCAAGGTCCTTCGAATTGCGCCACTTGTCTGCAAACTCTTGCCAACATTCGCCTTTTTTGAAACTTTCCCACTTTTGACATCCATGATCATGCTGTAACAGACTCATCACACATTCCACCACTCATCAACATCTCCACACATGTACGCATATGACACCCCTTTCTTATCCTTACTATTACCAATGACTGGATATCCGCTCCTTCCTGACCGACCTTTCACTACTTGGCAGTTACACACTCCTTATTTAGTTCTCTCCTATTAGATAAACCCCCTATCCCTTTAGGTACTTAAAGGCCTCATTCATACCAGAATACCCAGTGAATATCATAGTCTAAACCTGTCTATCGTGTTCGCTACCCCACTCAGTGTGCCACTACCAAACCGTTGTTACTTCTAGTCACAGCAGTCACTATCGTCACATATTTTTGACAGAAACTCAACTCAACTTCTCTTGTCTCTCTCATCTCCCCCTCTTCCTCTCATTGCCCGTCTTCTGGAATCCATTGGCTTGATCACCCGTGACCCCCAACTTCTGGCAACAATACCCTGTCTGCTTTTCTTATGTCTACCTCTACTCGTTACCAATTCCGGGCTCGTCGCTCATCTCGTTGATATGCGTTGCATGGGGATGACTGTGAAAGTGCGAAACACGCAAACAAGGATCAAGCGCGTTGGGAAAACCCTAAGCACCTAAACACACACACACACACACACACACACACACACTATCACAATCTCAGTGCACAAGTTCGAGGGCCTTTGGTATTAAGAAATACCACTTTTGTCTTCTTAGGTTTAAGTCTCAAGAGATTTCGTCTCAAAACGGGTTTTTATTATAAGGTGTGGTTTAGAATAGTTCAATAGAACAAAGTATGTCTTTCTGGGAACTTGGTCTCTTAAATGCAAAGTTCTTTGATCACAGTTTCTTTTATTAACACAAAACACAACTTCAATTGACTTTTATGACTCCCATGAGTTTTTATTATGTCACTATGCTCCAAAACTAAGGGTACAAGTACACTGTCTCGTCTAAATGATACTGTATTTTTAAAACCTCTTATTCAAAAGTCTCCAAGTAAGTTGACTCCCAAGCATGCTGGCTTCGTTCACACTGTACTTTTCTGACCACGAAGAAATCTCCTTTAATTGATTACAACTGTCCACCTCCTAAGTTCCTACTTGGAGTGCAACTAGCTGGTCAACAGGGGGCGATTGCTTCCTTTTTTGACCTGCCAGCGCGCTCCTTATATACTCCAGGAACCCCTATCTACGTTTTACATGTGTTTTAATGCAGGATACTTCAGTCCGAATTACAAATATGAAATTTAATGAACGTGTGGTATATTTTGTAGTCTATCTCTGTGAACACTACAGATTTTGTAGTGTCGCATCTTTCATTTTCAAACACATCAGTGTTTGATGTGTACGCGGAGTTAGCCAACGTAGCTATTCTTAGCTTGGCATGATCTCGCGTGTTTCTTTCTATGGCCCGGTTTACCGGTTTGACAGATGACATCACAAAATGATTAACGTTTCCTGATGCGTTGATGCGCATGCATACACATTTACCAATAGTCTTTGGCCTTCCGTCGCTTCCGAGTTTTTAATTAAAATGCCTTGTCTTGGCTCGTCTTTTCATTATGGAGGTCGGGAGACACTCCAAAGGTGTTTTCAAATGTCTTTCTTAATTGTCAGGGGGTTCTTATTATATTCCATATAATAGAATGTGTCTTTTTCTCATGTTTGTACTTGTGACGTTCAGACACATCAGTCTTTGATGCGTATGCGGGAACTGCCGTACATGACTTTCTGAATGGCTGTGAGCCACGCTAAGTCTTCGTACATTTACTACCTAGGTGTAGTTTAGTTTTTCAATGTTTCAGACATGCCGTTTAAGCATCTATGTCATCTTTTCTGTATTTCTTGTATAAGCACGAGTTTTCACAATAAATCCATTATGTGTTTCTAAACCCTTTGGTAGTAATGCAATTCTTCTCCCTGCATTGGGTGTTTACTCTAGAACCTCTTCATGCTCTATTTCATGGTAGGTGAATCTTAGATAGGATTCAAGTATAATGTCACGACGCATACTGCTGCCAGTTCCAAAGCCTTGTCCTATTTTCAGATTCCACGCATTTGCATTTTTAGTCAACTGCGCCGGGTATGCGCATTGACTCTTTGTATCATTGCAATTGTATGTAGTGTATTTATTAGAGATGACCTTTATCGGTAAAATCGTTAAAATTGAATTTTATACGGGTGAAATGGTTTCATCCGTATCAACGGGAAAGGCGTACAATTTTTATACACAGAAGGTGTCTATTAATTATAAAAGATGGACTCTACATGAATTTTTCGTCCAGCTTTTTAACTACTGCTTTCCAAGTGACTACTGTTTGGAGTTGTGAAAGAAAGTGAAGAGTTGTTTTCAAAATAATAAGTCTGTTGCGGAATATTCCCATGAGCTTGATGAACTCTATAATATGATTGGCATTGTAGATGAACGCAAAAAGGTCATTAAATTTTGGAATGGCTTTTGTGCATTGATTCAATGAACCTTATGGCTTAATGGATATAATCCTGAAGTGTCAACTTGGGATGAAATTCAGCGTGGTGCCAAAATAATTGAAACCTCCGAAAAGGTATCAGACCCACAGTGACGAAATAATTCTGGTGGAAATACCAGCCACCAGAATAATAACTGAAATGGTGGAGACCATGGTAAAAGAGGATCTGGTTCTAAACCAAGATCTGATTTTCAACAGAGAGGCTTGCAAGCCTCTTCATCATCGCAGAGGAATAATAGCTCCCAACCCCCTGGATCTACAAATAGATTCCAATCACCCCGAGTCAAAGGGAATTTCCGTGCTCACCAGAATAATCATTCGGGTCATAAGCAAGATTGGAAATCTAAAGACAATAAACGTGAGCATACTCCGAAGCTTAGTGACAAAGAAAAGGCTGAGTTGCTCACCTCGGGATCTTGTTTTAATTGCAAAGAGAAAGGACACCTCTCTCAGAACTGTCCTAAGGGAAATACTGTTAAATCTAACAATGGCAATAAACCCCCAGGTCTAGCTAGTTACAACATTGAAGTTGTGCATGATGAACCCTTAGTCTTAGGCTTGCTTGAGCTCAACGCTATAGGCCTAGAGTATGAACCATTCAGTTGGATGAATTATGGCCCAGATT